CCCGCCCTCGCGCTCGGTCCTGAGCTCGCTTCCCGCGAGGCGAGGCCCCCTCCGCGTGCCGCCTGCTCTGCGGGTGCGTGACGCTTGTCTGGTGTCGCTGCAGGGCACGGACTGTGGGTGCAGCGGTACCAGGAGAAGAAGGCGCTGTTCCACGTCCCCGAGCCCGACGGCAGCTCGCTGTCCCCAGTCACCGCGGCCGTGTACTTGTTCCTGACGATGATAATAGTCCTGCAGGTAACCGGCCCCGCGGTGCCCGCCTCTTCTCTCGCGGGAACTCGACACCGGTGCCCGTAGGGTGCTGTCCTCCCTCTGCTGTCCCCCTCCACCCGACTTGTCCCGAGAGGCTTTTCCTGGGCGGCTTTCACGCCCACGCTCTCCTTTGCTTCGGACGCTGAGGCCGAGGGGTTGGTTTCGATCATTCTTATTATCTTGTTGTGTTTTTCCACATAATTCCTTCTAAAAAAAAAAAAAATACATTTTGGAAAAATGTTAAGATTTACAGACAAGTTGCAGAACCATAGCGCAGTGCGTCCCCCACCGGGTGTCCCTGACCCACTGTCCCCAAAGTCCGCTGCGAGAATGAAGCCCTGAACTTGGCCGTGAGCTGAGTCCAGATGCGCAGGCCTCACCGGGCTTCCGCGCCTGCACGCTCTGTCCAAGGACACCAGCTTGCGTTCAGTGGCCTTGTTTTTATTGTGACTGTTTTCATTACTTTTATTCCTACTTTCGTTAACTCACGTGCCTCTTCAGTGCATCCCAGTCAGCAGCCGAGAACCTGTGGAGAAGGGACACTGAGTGTCACCGCCAGCGTCCCTGGGAACAGTGGCCACGGGACATTTGCTTGGCCCCTGCCTGGTGGGGGGGGAGCACTGTTCTCTCGTCACACGAGCTTCTTACGGCGGGAACCAGCCTCGTCTGACGTTACGGATTAGCGGGATTTGCTTTTGTTGAAACTCAGTGTGGTAATTTACTCCCCAGTTCTCATAAGGTGTTGGATTGAAACTGTTATGGTAACTCATTGATGTTTCCAGTTAGTCAGGAATTCATTTGTTATTTTATAAATTAGTTTTTTTCCCTGTAACGCTTTTTTCCGAGTTTTGTTGATGTAATTGACGCGTCAGGTGGTGTGAGTTCCAGGTGTGCAACACGATGGTGCGATACTGTGCTGTGACATGACCGCCACGCGTGGTCACCCTTTTCTTGTGCCGAGGACCTTTAAGACCTGCCGTCTTAGCAACTTCCACACGCACAGTGCGGCGTTGTTACCTGCAGTCACCCTGTGGCACCCCACGCCCCCGGACCGAGTCCCCTCAGGACCGGAGGCGCGTAGCTTTGACCCGTCACCCTACGCCCGCCCCTCTGCCTCTGGAACCGCGACGCCGTCCGGATCTGAGTCCGGTTGGTTTGGACTCCATGTTGTGAGTGGGACCACACGGCGTCTGCTTTTCTGGCCCGACCGACTTCCCTTAGTCGTCGTCATGGCTGCCGACCGCGTTCAAGCCCTGAGTCACACTGTCACTTGTGTCACGGTGACACCCTCGACTGTCCAGGGGCCCGGTCGGTCTCCATCACAACCCGAACCTACGAACGTCACCCCCAGAAGAGGGGCATTAAACCGGGGCTTGACCAGCTGTGACCTGCTCGGAGCCACCGCCTCTTTGCTCTGTGTCGCACACCACGGAACTCCGCCGGCACCGACCGCCCCGGACGCCCCTGGACCGTGGGCTGTGTCCGCGGGCCGGGCGGCTCCCGTCGCTGGGATCGCCTGGGGGCCGAGGGCCACTGCGGCACGAGGCGACGTGCTGACCGTGCGTGTGCTGTCTCTGTGCTCTGTCCTCTCCCGGCTTCTCTGAAGCAGAGCTTAGTGACACGAAGGTGCTCGCTGCTGCCCCAGGGCGCTCCGCACTGTCCCCGCGGGCTGTCCTAGCTTAAGGTCCCTGCCACTATCCTAACACTCCCCCAGTTCCGACCCGTTTAAGCTCTGGAAGGTGCAGTACAGGCCCTGCCTCCTGTGCTGTGTCGCTTGTCATTCGAACGGAGGGGCGCGGCCCCGAGCCCGCGCCCTCACTGCCGCTCACGCTGTGTCCTGGCGTCTTCCAGGTTTTGATCCCGATCTCCCTGTACGTGTCCATCGAGATCGTCAAGGTGTGCCAGGTGTACCTCATCCACCAGGACGTGGAGCTGCATGACGCCGAGACGGGCTCCCAGCTGCAGTGCCGCGCGCTCAACATCACCGAGGACTTGGGCCAGATCCAGTACATCTTCTCGGACAAGACCGGCACCCTCACCGAGAACAAGATGGTCTTCCGGCGCTGCGTCGTGTCGGGCGTGGAGTATTCTCACGACGCCAACGGTGAGTCCGGGTGGGGGCGGTCAGGGTCTGCTCTGTGGCCAGGACACGCCCGCCCCCCCCAATAACGGCATCCGAGACGGACAGGAGGCAGACAGCACAGGGCGTCCGCGTGGAGCCGATCCTTAGGGGGACTCAGTGGGAAGGGTCGGCTGGATGTGATCATGTGAGTTTTATAAAACCGGGAACCAAGATTAAAGCCACCCCACTCAACAGAGGGCTCAGGGACGTCCCCCTCGTTTTATGCCGTGTGTGCCATCGAAGCGAGCACGCAGTGACGGTGTCCCCTCCTGCCCTCGCCATCTCCTCTGTGATGCTTCCGCTCGGGAAAGAAAAGCCCACGGCTACGAGCTGTGAAGGACTCGGACCCGGCCGGCCAGGTTGGTCTCCGAGAGCGAGACCGGAAGCTCCGTGGGCAGGACCCCGGCTGAGACCACAGATTTTGACAGCTGTCACTCACCATAGAACGCAAGGGCCTCGTCGCCCCCGGAGGCCCCGGGGAGCCATCTGGCGAGGACGGAGGCAGGAGGCACCTTCCGAGGTCACTCCACAGCCTGGCCTCTCGCAGCCTCTCAAGGATGCTGAGCCCACACGTACCTGACTTGGCCCTGGAGACCATGGCCCTCTGTGACCTCGCATCCTGGTGACACTGTGCCCAGGGCCCGGTGTCCCCTGCTCCTGCCCTCACCCCCAAGGGACGTCAGGGCACCGCTGAGGACACCTGGTCAGATGGCTGCACGGTCGCAGGCCGCTGGCACAGCAGCAATGGCCCGAGGGACGCTGACCCCTGGCTCCTAACACAGGACGAGGAGTGGACGGTCCCGTGTCCAGGCTTCGCTCTTCCTTGCTGGCCACTTGCCACCAAACCGGGGCTGATGCCAGCCAGTGGCGAGGGGGACGTGGAGGGGGCTTCTCTCCTGAATGGGGCTCTTGGCGCTGGTGTCACTCGGCCTGTGACATTGACAAGTGGCTTCCCTTCCTGATCTCTGTTTTTCTCACCAATAAAGAAAGATGCGGGATGGGAGGCCGGGCCCAGATGAGGAGCCCATCCGGGAAGGTGGCAGACGCTCAGGTGGCCTCGCCCAGGTGGCCTCGCCGTCAGGGAAGGTGGCAGACGCTCCGAAGCCTCCCGGTGACGCGTCCCCCACGTCCCTCTCCCCACAGCACAGCGTCTGGCCCGGCACCAAGAGGCCGACTCGGAGGAGGAGGAGGCGGTGTCCAGGGGCGGCTCGCTGTCCCAGCGCGGCAGCCTGGGGAGCCACCAGAGCCACCAGAGCGTCCGCGTCACGCACCGCAGCCCCAGCGCGCGGTCGCACCGGCCCACGGGCAGCCGGGCCGAGGCCAGGTGGGCCAGCGTGCTGTCCAGGCGCACGGCCTTCAGCAGCCCCATGGTGAGTCCTCCGAGGATGGCGGCCGCCCCGTGCCAGCACCGGCCACCCGTCCTGCCCTCTGTCACCCGCCCGTCGGAAGGGTCTGTGTTTAGCAACACACACGCGCTGCTGCTGGGGTCGGGCTCAGCTCAGTCTGCACAAGGTGTTGCAGCCAACACCGCCGTGTGTCTCCCAAAACGCTGACGGCCCCGCTGCCACGGCTTCTAAGGCTGCGGACTGGCGGGTGGGTGACAGAGAGGAAGTCCGTCCTGCCAGACGAAAGAAGGAAACATCAGAGCGAGATGGCAGCGGGGGAAATGTCAGGCCACATGGGAGAAACAGCAGTTTGAATTCGACGAGCCCAGCCCCGGAGGCACACGCTCTCCCGCGCGGCGTCAGTGCCCACGCGTTCCGGAAGCCAGCGACAGCTCCCGAAAGGGCCTTTTTCTTCTAAGATGTCCTGAGCACAGAGAGGGGCATCTGTTTGGCTCCCGCTGTGGTGGCCTCGTTCCTTTCTGCCCTTTGAGACTCAGAGAGGCTGCCACTTCAACAGAGGTGACGGCGGACCGCGCGGGCCTTGCCTGGCGGGTTTAAATGGAGCGCCTGGCGGGGGCGGGGCCTCGCACCTGGCGGGGACACTGTGTCAGAGCTGGTCTCCGTGACGCCGATCCAGATCCAGCGGTACGAGGCGAGAATATTCGGCACAGT